ATCAATCTTCTTACCTAGGCAACGAAGCAATTTTCCCCAAAAATTGTCTTGTTCAGTAAGCAACTAAATACATGTATTTGAATCATTTGTGTTTGTTTGAAATCCCCAAAACCCATGAAGTGCATTCATGTTTGGGAGTAGTGTTACTGCTTATGGTAAATATTATATATTTTCCAAAATGTCACACCTGTATAGTGTATACATTGCACAGTATAACCCAAACCCAGAACAGATTAGTTTGGGTTCCCTGTTTTCAGAGTTTTGACTTTCCCCGGTCACAAATTGGTGAATGTTAGATTATGGTCTGTCGTTGCCAAGTTACAAAAGGTGAAAGGTTAAGGAATGTCTCTCCCTGTGATAGTGTTTTCAGAGAGGGCTAGTGAAAGTACCGCTCACTCTTGGATACTAAGATCATGCTTGTCTTAGTAAGGAATCAAAGCCTGATGATTTGGCGCTGTCTCTCGGTCCGTGCCTTGTTTCTCAATCTCAAGGTATTATTTCAGTTCTCCATCACTTGTCTCTGCTTCTTCATCTATGGTTTGTTTCTGTTTCCTTTAGGCTTTATCTATGTCTCTGTCTTAACTTTCTTCTCTATCCTTCTCTCCTCTTAACCTGGTTGGGTTTCTGTTTCTGCCTCAACAGACTGATCCGTCTAAGTCTACTTGTCCAAGAACATGCTTGCACTGACGCACAAATACTCTTGAGGCACACGATCAAGTCAGTCGTATTTTCTAATTCAAACAAGATCAGAGAGCTGACAAATACATCCAAAACCTAGATCATCAGTGGTCCAAGGTTCCTGGATCAAAAATGATCTTTGGCAACTTTTAGCTCCCCAGAAAGTGACAGTTTGGTCCATTATTGGTGTTGGGCATCTTCCACATTTCACTGATCAAGTAGTTAAACTTATCCCACAGCTCATCTCTGTCTCTCACACACAACCTCTTTCTCCATCTGTCATTGCTTTTCTCTTTTCCATCCCTCTTACCCACAAATGGAGATGAACATCGTCCTTATTGAGCCAAAGACGATCAGAGAACAGGATAACCTAAGCCTCAAGAGCCTGATAAGTAGTCTTTGACATGGTCTGATATTATCATATTCATGCCTCATTCATAACAGACAAGCTGATCAAAAAAACCTTGATGTTCCAGAAGGTCATCTTTAGGTTCACTGTAGGTCAACCCTTCCCATGAAAGCTGAGGGTCATGGGAAGCTGCAGCTCTTGGCTCGACCGGATAGGAACTTCACTGACAGGTTATCTTGGAGGATGTTTGTAAAATGGCCGACCACTGATACCACAGTAAAGAGCAGCACTCTGTGACTGTACCGTACATACTGAGCCAAGGACATGGCGAGCAAATCATGACCAATGATCTGAAGCAGGGAGGAGGCACTGCGAACGGAGTGGAAGAGTGTGGCCTTTACTCAGGGTTTGGAGGAGGAGAGGATGTGTGTACATGTGTGTGTATGTGCGAGGAGAGAGTATGTGCCTGGGTTTTAGTGGGTTGAATTGGTTTGATTACATTTGGAGATAGCGATCAGCTCCATTCCACTCGCTGCTTTATTGTGTTTGATGTCCGATGAGAATCTAGACGGAGCAACTCAACACGCATACCCTGCTAATGTACATGTATACACACACACACACACACACACACATGGTGGAGAATCACAGACAGGCACCTTTTAACTGGCTCATTCCAAGTTTGGAAGTAAGCAAACACTTTGTATATGACACTAGCAGGTGAAAAGACAAAAAACTAGTCTGCTAGAATCACCGTTTTGCTTGTTTATCTGTTTACTTGTCAGCTTAAAATATCCTTTTTTTGTTGGCAAGTGTTTTCCTTTGTAAGTTTACACATTTGGAATTGCTCTGTCACTGTTTAGGGTGGGAAAGAAGTGTGTGAGTGTGTCTGTGAGTGATTGTGGCGGGGAGGTACAGCTCACACACACACATGCAAATGTTTGACTCGATGCCGTGGAAACAGGCGATGTTTGGTCCTGATAGTTTCTCCCTCTCTTTAATTGTGGGGAAATGGGTTTCAGATGTTACTGCGCGACTGATCACTTTGGGCCCTGCTCGGCCCCGTCATGTCCTCCCAAACCACATCAAGGAGACCAGGGATGATGTGGGACGATAGCAGCCCAGCGAGGGAGGCCCACTGCGGGGGCTAAACGCTCCTCTGGGTGCCCTTGCAATAACAAGATCCACATTAGGCAGTAGCTGTGTCATCTGACTGCTAAGCTAGGCGGTGTTGCTGCCTACTGTGTGAAATGTGACTGAAATAACAAACCCAACGTGATTGGAGGAAATGATTTCCTGCTGTAGTTTATTGAACGTAGCTTGTTTCAGATGTTATTTGTGAACATATTTGGGATGTCTTTGATATTATGAGCAACTTTTAATGCTAGCGCTATTGCTGGTGTTATGGGCTTATCAGTGGGGCTGTATATCAGGAGCTGGCAGATATTTGGTGTCTTGAAAAGGATTTTTCCTATTAAAGTATTCACTATTCCTTCCCATGTTTATATTTGTGGTGACAGCCTACTAGAAAAACATGAAGCTACATTAAAAACGAATAAAAAAGTGTCCTCCACATGTTTGCAGCACCTGTTGAGGAGATGGTTGATCCCTGTGGGTGTGACAAACCCACTTTCCAGTAATAAAGCCTTTTTGGTTGCTTCGGTTTGTTTTCCTTGGATGACTCCTTACCCCTGGGTGAGGACTCTGGTAATTCACATGGGAGAATATAGGGGTTGATGTCATGTATTCCAGCTTTGGGAGCGGGAGAAAAAGAAAGACACACTGTCGGCGGAAGAGGGATGCAATGCTGCCCTCTGCTGTTGAGTAAGGCAAGTATAATATCTGACTCAGACAGAAAAACCCTTTTTTACTAATTATGACTGGCATTTTAGGGTAAAAAATATATTTACTAAAGCACCGTGTATGTATTTTACTTGAGTGATTACCCTTTATTATTTTTACTTCCACTGCATTTCAGAGTGTGTTTTTGTGTTGATGTTAGGGTGGGATTGAGGGAAAAAATAGGGTGGGGAGGGAGGGGAAGTTAGATAGCCACCAGTTGATAGAAATGTATCAGCCAGCTGGCCAGCAGCCGCGGAGCTGTGGAGCTCTCCCTGATCTCTGTCTCAGAGAAAATACAACAGCCAGAGGCTATGAGGGGGTCTGAAAGGTTTCTATTTGCATTGGAACAGCTTTGTTGCAGTTCAACTGGATATGACTACCCAGTATTTTCTTTTTGAATTGACAGTGGAGGAACTGATGGTTTTCTGGTTTGTGAGTTGGGACTCGCACTTGCAACTTTAGAAACATGTTACATTGTGTGGTGAGCCCCCTTGGAAACCCTAGTGAGTGAGATTTACATAAATCAATATAATGAAGAGTTGACCATTTGATTTGAATTTGCTCACACATTCAGAGAAACCAGTACAGATCACAGTGCCTCTGCCTTGTGGGCATGATAAGCCCACTGACAAAAACATAAAACATCTGTTACCCATATTTTCTGAAGCTTCCAAGAAGAGCAATCCGAGGTTACTCCAAGAAGGTCATCATCACTTCTGTCTCTTTCCAACCCGACTCTCGCTCTCTCCGTGCTCTTCATGCTCTTCATGCTCTCTTTCAGTAGCTCCTATTGAGCATCAAAGCCTCAACACTCTGGTCCCATGGAGCAGGAATCTCCAGACTGTGTAAACAGCACTCCAGTCCTTCCCAACTGTGAAACACATTGGATTTGAACCTGCGTGTGAACCTTTACATCTACTGTATTCGGCCGGAGGGAAATTAGGGTGTGGGCAGAAAAAAAGGTTTGTTTTGTTTAGGGTATCATTTACATAGCGCACAAAGACAGCACTTAATGAATCGTATGCATTGTTATAGCTCTGCAGGACTGTATACACAATTTACAATACAGAACCGAATTACAAAAATAGATGTATTTAAAGATGGAAAAAAAATCATGGGAAACCGTACCAGAAGTTAGTGAAATTCAAATATTCCTCATGTTTACGATGACTAAGTTATGTACGGTGGCAGACGTCAAGTTGGTGAATGTTTTCAAAATGTGTTGCATGTGTTTTGGTAGATTTTCGTTTTTATATGGGCATCGTTTCTGAAGCTGCAGCGCGTTTCTCCTAACATTAGTGTTTTGGGCCGTTGTAGCGCGTTTCCACCTGTCGGCCACTGTAGTAAGGCCTTGATTACTGTGGATGTCATAAAGCCTTCTATAAAGACAACAAAATGTCAGTTCTTGTAGTACTTTTCAGCTTTACTGTATTTTTGGAAGTAGAAATAACCGACTCTTCTTTACCTTCTTTTATTTCTTCTTTAACTGGAAGACTAAGTGTGCCAAGGTCCTCCAGACAGAGGAGCAGATGAGAGGGTAAGAGGAGGGGAGAAGGGCTTATTTTGGAAGAACAAAGAGGGCTTGGTAGGACTAGACAGCAGGCCATCAAATACAGGGGTTGATGATGAGCAGAGAGTGTGTGTGTGTGTGTGTGTGTGTGTGTGTGTGTGTGTGTGTGTGTGTGTGTGTGTGTGTGTGTGTGTGTGTGTGTGTGTGTGTGTGTGTGTGTGTGTGTGTGTGTGTGTGTGTGTGTGTGTGTGTGTGTGTGTGTGTGTGTGTGTGTGTGTGTGTGTGTGTGTGTGTGTGTGTGTGTGTGTGGTGTGTGTGTGTGTGTGTGTGTGTGTGTGTGTGTGTGTGTGTGTGTGTGTGTGTGTGTGTGTGTGTGTGTGTGTGTGTGTGTGTGTGTGTGTGTGTGTGTGTGTGTGTGTGTGTGTGTGGCACTTAAACTCAGCTGAAGTAGGTTAGTTTGTTTTGTTTGCATATAGCCCCATCTTGTGGACCTTTTTAAAAACCAACCAATGTTGAATTTTTAAAGGCAAGCTGTCGGATATAATATCTTCATAAATAATTACTAACAGTTTTAGTTTTCTGGTGTTTATAATTTTTTTAATAACTTAATAAAAAGACCACAACTGCATTTTGCTGTGCAACATTGTGTTGCAGAATTATAAATACTCATTCACTTTGGCATTTTATGACATACCATACTGACATTTTTATTACATGCTTTGCGAGCGTGAAGGTGGCTCTTTATATATATTTAAAAGAAAAAGTTATAGTATAGTTGTCGAAAATTCTGATAATTCAAACTAGTATGCTGATTAATATTGAAAGGCAAAGTAAGGTATGTTGAATATTTCATGAAAAAGTATAGTATTTTTAATACGACGTACTGTAATATGTATGTTTTTGTGGTTGTTTCAAAACACTATACAATGACTTTGTCATACACAACAATGCTGATGATATGACATAATTCATATAAATATGATATCATTGAAACAGTATACTATGACTTTTTTTCAAATGTCTGAAATACTATATTGTGATTTTTGTCAACGTCCTATACTATTAACAGTCAATAATAGTTATGAAGGTATTCCCATACTGCACACCTGCCTGTATTGTTATTGACTGCTATTCATTGGATCACACAGACAGACACAAATAGCAACACTGCAGGAATCAAGTCTTGAGGTTAGAAAAGTAAAGGGAATAAACTTTATAAGCAAAAAGTAAAATGTTCTGTCCAACAAATGTTCTGGTATTGGTTGTGTGTAATATGATTAATGATGTCAGACAAAGACAAGATATACTGTAAATATACTGTTTTCCTTTAGTTTGTTTTCTTATGCCCTAAGCTTAAAACAGTATACTTTCTTATTTATCTTCTTCAAGTTTTAAAATCAATGTAAAACTACATGCAGATGTCATTTAACAATGTTGCAAAATGTCACACAAATGCATCCTACTTAATCGCTACAGTATGAAGCTTTGATGTTTCTCATTAACTTGCCATTTGTGCTTGAAGACAAGGGTAGGAGATTTTGAATCTCCTTTAATAATGCCCAAACATTTGGTAACATCTTTATAAACATCATTTATTAACTGCTGCTCACTTTATGAAATCTTCTTTCTCCTCCTCGGCCACGGCATTGGGCGTCCTCCTGGTTCTGATGGAACACACATGTTAGACATTTGGTTATATCTGACTAATGCAACAAAAAGAGGAGGGTGGTAACTCAGTCAAAGCTGGTGTTAGTGTGTTAACACTGTGTCTTCACCTGGTGGAAACTGGGGGCAACATAATCATGCGGGGGTGCGCTGTGAGGACGAGCTCTCCTCCGACAGCTTCCATTATCAGGTTCTGGAGCGTGTTCAGCAGAACCTCTTCACTCACGTCAGCAGGCACATGTTCATGGTGTGGTGTCCCCTCACCGTCCACTGGGCTGAGCTGATCCTCCTCTCCCTGGGTCCCACTGGACAGAAGTTGTGCTTGGGGTGCAGGGTAAGAAGAGGAGGAGGAAGGGAGGGAGGACGGAGATAAGGAGGGACCAGGTTTTCGAGGCTGGTAGGTGATGGGCTTCGATTCCATACTTATCAGAGACTGCGAGAAGGGTGGCTCATCAAGTATTCTCCTGGAGAAGAAAAGGGGGGGACCTTAGCTCTATGGATGCACCAGTTATGGACTTTTTATACAAATTGGAATAAGGACTTAATATTCAAATCACAGAAAGCACAATATTTGGTAAAATATGTGTTAAAAAAAACATTTCATATTGCAAGGGCAATTGTCGCAATAAGTAATTTGTATAAGTAGCACATCCCTAATCAACACAAATACACAGAGGCAAGGGTTTGATATGAACATTTCATGTCATTATTATCTTTGCTAACTAACTTCGGCTTACAATATGAACTCTACCAAAATACACACAAAACTGTTAAAATAAAACTAAACCATACTGGAATTAGTTGATTAGATTAAGTTAAAAAACCAAATAACTGTATTGTGTCAGAGATAGATACGTTTTTTTTCTTTTTGTTAAAAACGTATAAGGTGATCAAAAATCATATGTATGTATGTACAGTATGTAAAAAAACAAAAACATTTTTAAAGACACTCAAAATATATACTAAGATAACATATAATTTATTAATACCAAATTCTCATTTTAAAATTCTACAACAATCAACTTGCTTAGATTTTGTTTTACCCTGACCCAAAATAATGGGTAAAATAACCCGTTTTTATATCGTCCAAGTCCTTACTGGCTCTCACTTGACTGTATATTTGTATTCTCATTTCTTTATCTTTAGCAATTGTCACAGAACCCAACGTCATCTGGGATAAATAAAGTATTCTGATTCTGCTTGATATCAAAAAAGTTCCTCACTGCAGTGCAGAGGTCAGTGTGTATATATATATATATACAGTATGTTGTCTTCACTGCATGTATCTGGGTGTCTGTGTGCACGTTACCTGAGCAGAGAGGCGAGTATGCGCATGGTGACGTCTCTATCGGGGCCTTTTCTCTGTGCACCCCGCCCAGCATGGAGGGAAGTGCTCTCAGGTTGCTGGGGATTCACTGACTGGAGGCATCTTGGGAAAACAGCACAGATATCAAAGTGACTTAACTTCAGTTTTTTAACTTCTACTTAAGTGATTACTAACATGGAAAAGGACGTTATGATATCAACATACAGTATGTATAACAACAATTCCCTTGTAAAATATGTATTAAAGTCCAGTCTGTCTCAGTCTGAATGCGTTACCTGAAGTCACTGGACTGGTCAGGAAAGTGTGCACGGTACTCCAGAAGCCCGTGTGAGCGTGCAGTCACCCCCAGATGCAGCAGAGCCGGCAGGGGGGGTTCAGGGCACCTCCAAACGTTTCCCTTTTCTCGCTGCGCTCGCTTCTCAGCTCTTGTTATCTTGGTACATATCGCCCCGACTGTTTCACAAGCAGCACTGGCACAGATAGGAGGAAGAGTCTGGAGGGATCAAAGAAAAGGCTTTATGAATTAATTTGATACATTTTAAAATGAAGTTCTTTAGTAAAGCTGCAAAAAGAGCAACTGAATCCCAGAAATATTGGAGTACAATGTAGACATTTGGACATATAGTGTTTATATAAATATTTGATTATATCTTCTTTTATTGGACATTTTACTTTAGCTTCTTATGTTTATAAAAATATCTGTATTCTACAATTTGTCATTTTTTTTGTTTCTTATGTTTAATACACATATATATACTGTATAAATTAGGGCTGTCAAACGATTACAATTTTTAATCAGATGAATCACAGCTTTAAAATGAATTAATCATGATTAATCACCATTCGAACTATGTCCAACATATGCCATTTCTTTATGTAGCCTATATTGTTGTGGGAATGGAAAGATAAATGAAAGAAGGCGGATATATCCATTTAACATACAGTATGTATGTTTATTATAACATTTTTCTGTGTCAAAATGAAAGACAACCCACATACCTATCAATCATCAAACCGTGGGGTCTTAATTCATTACGTGTTGATTTCTATCAACGGGGGAGTACTTCAGGAAAGTCGACAGGGGGTGGGGGGGGGGCTAGTGGAGTACTTCGTGACCACAGAGTGTGAACGTTGTGATCAGCTGTTTTAGCGCAGTTCTCCAGTGAAGGGGGGGAGTCTCCCTCCGCAGCCGGTTGGCGTAGTTTTGGCACAATTCCGTTGTACAGACCGACGTTAATAGCAGCCCTGTCTGTGCACACGGAGACCGACTCTGTCGTCCGGTGATCTAATTGCCTTCTGGAAAAGCTTCACAAGTACGTCGGTACGCAAATGCGCTTTGTGACACAAGTGACGGTACGCATTTCAGATTACGCACATAACCTGCGTACCAGTTATGTGCACCCCTGTACTACAGCAAAAGTATTCTCCGTTGGGACTTCCTGCAACAACACCACGCCGTTATCTTGATTCTGATTGGCCAGAAGACATTATCAAAGATGTTCTATTGAGAAGACGATCACTACCTGACAAAACCGTTTCTGGTCTTCGGTATTTCCAGACAAGTGGCTACTGAAATCAATCTTACTAAAACTGCTGTCTGCAATTCTCGGCGCGAGTTGGTGGACTTTATTTTGCTTACTTTAACATCATTTTTCATGGTGGGGCTAAGCCATTTCTTGGTATGGGTGTAGCCTACCCCAGCCATACCCTGGCGCTGCCACTGGTGGGATGTATGGGACGGGCCATTCTGCACATGCGTTAAATGCGTTAAATATTTTAACGCAATTAATTAAAAAAATTAATTACCGCCGTTAACGCGATAATTTTGACAGCATTAGTATAAATATATATATGTGTATTATATACACTTTTTTAATATATATATTTATTTTATTTGACATTTACTGTGCTGTGAGGCTTTATGTTCCATGTTTTAAATGACTTATATATTTTTTTCAAATATTATCATAATAGACATCTGTCTAGGAAAAAAAGCTTCTTGGGTAACTTTGGCACGTGAACACCAATGTGTATCAATGTACACTGTCCCTATCAAAAAACGAATATTATATTGTAGAGGCAAAACCAACGCTTTATGCCTCTGAGGATCCGCTTGGTGGGTGTAATTGACGCACACAAGTTTGCTGCCGAATAAAGGTCAGAAACAAAGTTTCCAGTTTGAAACAGTCCATTTATTTCCATTTGACTGGTTTCCATTTTACTTGCTTCTTTTCATATTCACCACACGATATTACCGTTTACACAATACCTTTGCTTTGCTTGTAATCCCGTGTTTGTGTGTGTGTGTGTGTGTGTGTGTGTGTGTTCTCTGTGTGTGTGTGTGTGTGTGTGTGTACTCCGTGTGCGTGTTCTCCGTGTGTGTGTGCTCTCCGTGTATGGTCAAAAACTGTATGGGCCTTCCGGCAGAACCTCTCACCAACACACATAGGTTCCTACCTTTATACCCACAGTTAATTGGCTCCTACATATATTATTTTAATTAATTAAAATAGAATACAATTTAGTATAAATAAATTAAATATTTACAGAAAAACAAATGTACAACAAACGAGGAGCACCTTGTATTTCCTGAGTGGCGGCCCTTTTCTTACTGGAGCTGCTACAGGTTCCTGTAACAAGACAAAGGATGAATGTGTGGCAGAAGCCTTTAGCATGTCTGTCAACAATATGCCTTTGGATGTGAGGAAGCACCTTATCTATCAGAACTCCATAACTGCCTTTAATAATCTTATCCGTGACAGTGAATTCATCCCGCTGTCTCTTTTTCTCTTCCTCCAAATGCTGTAAAGCATCGTAATACCGAGTCAGAGCGGCTTCCTGAAAAACCTGGAGAAAAGAAGAAAAAACGTGTATCATTCTTAATTTAGAAAAAAGTAACTTCTAAAAATACTCTGCCAAACCAGGATTGAAATGAAATTGGAAAATGGATTTGAATTCACCAGGTTTTAAAAAAAACACACACTTGATGCTGTTTAAATCTAGATTAGCACTGCTGTGGTACCTGACAGATGATATCCAGCTGATAAACAGCAGGGTAGTCAGTGGAGGTGAAGGTGAGGACACAAGGCGCACTCTCCCCTGGACACAGAGTCCCTCGCTCTGGATGGATCTCCACTGCCTGGCATAACAGAAAAAACACAGACACATTTTCAAACGTAAACAATATCACAACTCTCATACCGGAAAATTCTAGTTTAAGGTGGTATGGGTCATGCAAATGACAAATCATTGTTTCATCATTCAAAAGCCAAAGATACAAATATTTTAAGAAATTGGGAGAATCAAAGACATGTAATATCTTAATTTTCGCTGATTTTGAAAGAAAGTCTGACAAAAAGAGGGAGGACATGCATGTTTCATGCTCAAAATGTTCAGATATACATTGACAAGATATATTATTATATTCTCAGAATACTTTATTCCTCCAGATGGGAAATTGGTTTGAACAATTAAAAAAAAGACAAAAATATGTATACGTGGGTAAAATGTCTTCATTTCATTTTTTTTGTAAATAGAATAAAATAGAAAGAAATATTTATATTAACATACGATAAATGTGCACCTTGTACAATATACAGTTAATATATAATATGTGTATACTACAACATATGCAGTGGAGTATCAGTACTAATAAAGATGTTAATGATTAATTAATTATTCTAAAGAGGGTTTAACTGCTAATGGTGAAATAACTAGAGTCTATGTTGACTGCCTGTAGCTCTGAGGGAGGAGTTAAACAGTATCAAACAATAATATACTGTATATATTATATATATACAATAATTCACATCGTACATGTACATCTTCCAGTACCTGCTTATTGCTCTGCAGCTCCCATGAATAGTGGACAATGTCTGTGTGGGACACATTGGTCAGGAAGAGGATTTTTGAGGATTGTGAGCACACAGGGATGTCACCGAGAGAAACACTGTCCTCTGACAGGAAGACCACCTACGCACAACAAAGAGAAAGCCTTTGAGCTCCATACTGTTTCAGACATAATCCTTGATAATCCATGATATGGCGTTTCATCAAGGCAGTATTTAGTTTAGACAGTAGCTGCCGGGTCCCGCATGAGCTCAGCCCCCTCCTTTTTTATTTGTTATCAGTTTTTTAATTGTTTAAAGCTTTATACCCAAAATTAGCACTTTTGTAACAGGAAGTGAAATAGAGGGATATGAGGCATGGCTAGAACGGGTGATCTGTTTGGTATTTTTAGCAAAACACTTCATAGACATGTTTTTTATATATTTTTATATATCTGAGACCTACAGTATGCTATTGCCTAAAAATAGCATGATAGGAGTCAAGAACTGCTCCCACCTGTCCCGGGAAAGGCCCTCTCTGGACACAGGGTTCAGATGCCTTCATATCATTGCAGTGAGATGGGACTTTGGAGATGAGAGTGGGAGAATCCAAACCACATCCCTCAAACTTCACAAGCGTGGAATCCCCGTCCTCCACGTGGATCGGAATATCCACCTGTTATTACACAGTAAAATATTTGAAATTACACAGATGGGACAATTAACTACTTAGGTATAAATGGTATATGTCATTATTCTGAATAAAAAATATTGATTATCTGTTTTTTTTTTCAAAAGTATACACATTTCTGTTGCTGTTTAGTGACATTAGTGTGTTTTTTTGTACTTCTTTTTTTATTTTGTTTTGTCTAACATGTGCTTTTTTATCAAAATAATACTGACATGAAGGAAATAAATAAATATTGTTTAAAAAATAATAAAATTGTTATCAAACCTATACAAATGAAAATGAAAAAAATTCATATAAATATTAGTAATATTAAAGGGATTATAAAAAAATTATAAAACATATTACATAATGATGGTGATATATAAAGTGGAGTAACGAGAGGTTCTACATTGCGCATGAGCTTGATGATAAAGCTACACCTACATTACAGAGACACTTTTGTAGGAGCAGCCCAAACCAGTTGTCTGAAAAGCAGTGGTAAGAGGGCGGCAGCAGCACTGCAGATTATAGCTCCATCCTTACGTGGTACATCTTGGCCTCCAATGGAGAGAAGATCCATCCCAGCATGGCCGTCTCTCCAGGACGGACCTGTCCCTCTGGATTGAGGCAGCACAGCACTGGATGGTTAAAGTTGTCCTCCTGCAGCTGTAACAACACGGCCGTGCCCACCGTATAATGGACCGGCACTGCACCGCGATTGTGTATTTTATACACCTGAAGGCCAAGCAAAGATATACAAAGTCACCCTGTTTTTTTCCAGTCTTTCAGAGAAGCTATGTGAGAATGTCATGTAATCTGGAAAACAGGTGGGGGAATACATTATGGCATTATTACTTTTTTTGGTAAGGAAATATTGTTCTAGCATTGGTGGTTACACTACTACCATTCTTAACAGGATTAACAACTAATGTTTTCTTAAAGGTCCCATGACATGGCCATTTCTACTGATCATAATTCCATTGTTGAGGTCTACTAGAATAGATTTACATTGTTCAATGTTCCAAACTCACATTGGTTTCTCATACAGCATCTCTGTATAGCATGTGTATTCACTCTCTGTCCTAAACGGCCTGTTGGAGATCCTGCCCCCCCCCCCTCCCTGTGAGCCCACTGTGCTCTGATTGGTCAGCTCGCCCACTCTGTTCTGTTGAGTCCACTACCGTTACATTACATCGCATTTAGCTGACGCTTTTATCCACAGCGGAACATCAGTGATTATGTGTTACAATGGCGTTTGTTAGCAACCAGAAAATGACACCAGTAATGACAAACAGATGAGAATGCTGCGTGGGCTCTGGGTGCCGTGTTGGGGGGACGTTGCGGGGCTCGCTGCTGTGAGGAGCGGACAGTGTGAGCTGGATTACTGGTGTCATTTCCTGCTTGCTGCGAGACAGCGAGACATCGTGAATGGACGCGGGAAGGGGGGGGTGCTGAGGGGGCTGCAGCACCCCCATCTGCGAGGCTCCACTAGCACCCGCAAAGCATGACATGGGACCTTTAAGGTGATATATGTTGTGTGCATTACCATTATTAACAACAAACACCAAGAAAAACTAACCTGAGAAAATATTTTAACAGAATATTCTTTTCAACCTGCCAAAACTTTTTTTTAGACACTTAGAAAGATTATCCTGGTAAAACCCCTGTTCTTAAGTCATAGGCAATGAACAGACAATATTTTAGATCTTTTGCAGAAGATTGTTTTTTTTCCTCACTTGCCTCCATACATTGTAGTCAAACAATGGATTTCCAAACACTCTTTAGGCAAAACTGTAATTAGTAAATCAAGTTAATTGTATCTTGTATGAAAACAAAAACAAGAAAATGTATAATAATGTTTAGATAATTGTTTGTTAGATGCTGCGTAGTGGATCACACCTATGTAGAGATCAGTGATTTTATGCTGCAGTTTAAACATTTTAAAAAACAGAAGAAATCAGTGGAAGATGTTTCACTGAGTTCTTATATGGAATATTATACTCTAAGTTGGAGTGCAAACATTTCAGCTGACTATGAAAAGTTCACTCCTTCTAGGCTTTGTTGGATGTTAGAGAAATGAAACACACACCTGTTTTGGAGGAGTACAGTCCCCAATAGTTACAGAAGTGAAGACATGTCGCTTGGAGGCAAAGTGAAGAAAGGGTCTGTCTCTCTCCACCGTCACCCCCTGAAAGTTCACCTGCACACAGAACCACAAGCCATGGACGTGAAGTCAACATCAAATATCAAACAGTCACATTTTTCATCAATCTTAATGATAAATTACAAATGTATTTTTTGTCTTCTTCGACTTGATTAAAAATGAGCCTTGTGTCACTGTATATGGATGTTTGCCTCACCAAGATCTCTCTGCCATAAGAGAGTTTGAACACGACAGGGAATCGATCCATACCAGCGAAGAGATGGCTGCAAAGGACCAACTTTTTATTATTGTGGGACCACTTATTAGTGTTATCTGCTTTTAAACAATTCTAACCCTTGCAAATGTTAGCAAATTGTCTGAAATGATCCTCCTGTGTGGTGCAATAATCTCTGACCTGTAAGTGAAGCTCACCACCCTCTGCTGGCCAGGAAGTAAAGTCCCAGAACGAGGAGTAATGCTGAACAGTTTGTTGTTTTGAACCTGTCGGTGAGATGAACATATAGTATGTGTGCTTACTTTCTGTCTGTATCTTTATCAAAAATAACATATTTTGATATGATTTTATATTTAAAACCCCTTCTGGAAGGGACTGGTCTGACCTTCATCTGGTACATTTCAGTGCTGCTGAACTCTCCGGTCTCTGCCCAGTACTCCAACTCTATCTGTTGGTCCTCTGGAAACAAGAATGCCCTAATATTGAAAAGAGAACATTCAGTAGACATTAAAGTTTGTATGAGATCTTAAATAGAATGCTAAATGCAGTTATCTTAGCCTTCGATTGACTGTATTCTCTAGAGTCAGCTTTTTACCCACCAGTCCACAGGGATGGAGCCAGGGTTGTGAAACATCAACCCAAACACTGAGGGCTCTGAATTTAGAGGAGTGGCACTGAAGTTGAAATCCAACATGGCGTTGGTGAAGATGGAAGGAGAACTGCTCACACTAGAGGCAGGAAGAGAAGACACATCATGAACACACCACATCCTAACAATGTAAATACAGGACACATCTTGTCAAAGTAGAATTCAGGTGTGATAGCATTTTGTGTTGTTATAATAAACAATACAATTATTCATACATTATATACATTTACAAGTCTCAAAAAGCCACTGTAGACACCTTTTAAAACAGACATTTCCATCATGTTGAATGATTTGTTTCGTTATCTTTAAGAACTGCTTAGTTAAGAACTATATCTTGTTAATGTCTTGAGTACCAGTTGCTCATGTGTGTGTCTTAATTAGCTGGCAGTGGGAAGAGTAGTATTTTATCTTCCTTTAACAACAGGTGTTGCCACTAGGTGTCAACAGAAATCGATCAAGGTCTTTATTTATTTTTAAAATACAATGTTTAAATGAGATTTTACATATTCTTTCAAGTGGAGTCAATCAATAAAAAATGTAATTGTGTTAAACACCAATAATATTAAATAAATCATAAGAAATCACGAGTTTATAATACTAGTGTATACTTGTATTTTAGGGGAGAAATAAAACAAATACAGGTCTGGCGTTGTAATAAAGAAATGCATGACAAACTGGTAAGAGAAATCAGAGGTTTTTTTTACTTTATTGTACAGTAACATGATGACAAGTCATGTTATTTTTCCAAAGCTTAGCTCGTATGGTTCTATACTTGCCGCCGATATCAAATTGTGAGCATTACTGTATGTGTTCATACAGTGGTGAGCCTTTCTGGGAGCAAGTGTTATTTTTCTTCACGTATTAAAGTCTTACATAATGCTTTTCCTCACCTGTGTCTGATAGGCGTTCTGTGAGTGAGTTCAGCGGGGCAGGGGTTGGACAGCATGAGCTCATTGAGGCGGTCCAGTGAGAATAGTTTCCAGAGGTGCCCCTTGCTGAGTCTGCCCACACTGCCACCACTGCACACATCAATCACCCGCAGAGTGGGAAACACACCCTTAGCTCGCACTTCACACACAGCTTGAAGAGGGGATGAAGCCAAACCTGAGAAGAGACAGATATAGAACAGAAAGGAGCATTAAGTGTCACGTAATATAAAATGAAATGGCAAGTATAGGCAGGTTTCTAAGGCAATTCAAAGTGTATTAAAACACATTCAAAAAATGATATACAAGCTCAAATTGAATTTAACAGGTAAAAAATAAAAGTAACAGTGCAGTACAATTTAATAAAAGGTAGCAGCAAATCATTTGAAACTGATTTATTCTTATCTACCACTGGCGTTCAGCGTCTGGTAGCTGATGGTCCACAGGTACTGAGCTCGTCTGTTTGGCCTGACGGTGGATCGGAGCAGCATCTTGGAGCGTGAAGCGATGGTTCCCATTGCACAGTCCAGCTTCAGGGCTAAAGGGCAGACAGGACACAGCTAGATACAGCACTGTTCCAACTACTACACCTGTATGTGCTATTCATTTCACTCTCATCACTCGCGCATCGTTTTTTTTAATGTGTGTTTTGCCAGGGTAATTTTACTTCGGCACTGTTTTACACCTGTCAGATCAAGTATTATTTTTGTTATACTTATTTAAACTCACAAGAGGCTTAAGTGCTCTAGTAAGCCATGATCTGAATAGGACTAAAAGCTTGAGATTAGCACTGATACAAATGTATTTATAGAAAAAAATATATTTATATAGAAAAAAATATATATATTTATAGAAAAAAAAAAGATACATGACATACTAGATAACTTTCTAGCATACATTATATGTACTGTGTGTTTGAAATGAAGCTTAGCGCAAGTTCAACCAGGAAGACCGTCTTTCTCATTCATGTATATGTTATTACTCTCTCTCCTCTCAATAAGTGACAGGGGGCGTCACTCTTCAGTCTAACCAATCACTTCGCTCTATTTCCAAGAGCCTATCATAGCGCTCTGTCAAACCTTTTTAATCTGCTCTTTCCCCCTCTGACAGCTGTCATTTCAGGTGACTCGACACAACCCTCCTCCACCCCCTTTTCTCCTCCCGTCCCTCTGAATCCAGGTTCAAGCCAAACCACTCCTCTTCAGACCGACCCCAACTATCCATTCACCACCACCAGTGTCTAGACCCCAGGGGGGTTTCATCGGATCGGTTCTACCCTCCCGAATGATACTTCCTGCACAACGGGGCCTAAATCGCCAAAACTACCATTACATTCATGTGTTCATCTGTGCAATAAATATGCATCACTCAAAACCGTCTCTCCTGATTGAAGTGCATTGAGAGCTTGACATTTACATGAAAGAAAACATAAATGCTTTAAATCTTGGTGGTGCAAATCAGCTATTGTGGCCAAAATGAGTTTTACAACATACAAAAAACTTAAAAAGATAAGCATGGCAAATCCTCTCAAGTCAAAACAAAGAAGATGAGACTTCACCAACTGATCACATTTGTACTTGCAAGTTACCTTAATGGAGGGAAATATTTAATTTACACCATTCATTTTCCCTACTGACCATTACACATGCTAAAATCAAATACTGAGCTGATCAATATCATGTAAATACATTAAGGGAAGAACAGCAAACCCATCACGAAATAGAATACCATTTGGCTCAGTCTCGGGGTCATAACTAAGTTCCTCGTCCAGAAGCGTCTGCTGCACAGAGAGACAAAAGGAGACGGTACAGGGGCTGTTGTTCACCAGAGGAACCTGAATCGACCGGTAGCTTCCAACCAGAGCCTCCCCAACATCCAGAACAGCTTTCTCTGCCTGTGGAGGAAGATAAATACACACAGCTTTTTACGGCTATTTCTTGAAAATTCACATACAGTTCCAGTACATGTATACACCCAAACACACGCACAGAAACGCCCAACCTCTATGAAGCCTTTTGAGCCCGTCCCCACCACTACAAGGGTAAGTTGTGACTTGTTACACCCAGTAGTCTGCATTGACCAGAAGGTGAAAGTGGGTTTCAGTGTGTATGTTTTTTCTTCCAGTGGGCTGAAGGACCATGTCTGGACCTGTAAATTCACAGTTAAAAACAATCAATCAATCAAATGTCATTTATAAAGCACAATATTACACATTTCAAATTTGTTTCAGGAGGCTTTACAGTGTGTACACAGCATACAACACCCTATGTTAATATAACCTTGCAGCGAATAGGGAAACACTCCCCCCAAAAAAACACATTGATGGAGAGAATTTAAAGAAATCTTTGAGATGTAATGTGTATACATTAAAGAACATAACAAAATTACAAAATAGGAACAATGTGAGCGTATTTAAAGGGGCCCTATTGTGTTTTTTGGGTTTTCCCTTTCCTGTAGTGTGTTATATAGGTTTCTGTGCATGTCAATGGTCTGCAAAGATTAAAATCCCAAAGTTCCCTCCAGATGGAGTTTCCCACACACTCCCCCCCTGCCTGAAACACCTCCATTGGACTCCTTTGTTTACTTCTGTGACATAGTGACATCACTATGTAACGCTTGCACTTCTATTGGCTAGCGCTCTAACACATTGTATATTATAGGCTAAGGGGCGGCACGTCTGTAAGTGGTTGACCAATCACAACAGAGCCGGCCAACCAACGATCAGAGCAGACTGGGCTCTGGTTTCAGACAGAGGGTGAAAAGAGGTGCTGCAGCACAGGAAGTATGAGAAAAATAAAGAGCTTTTTGAACATTAAAGCATGGAGACGTGTCACGGTCGAGGGACAAAATACAAATATGAACCTGGAAATGAGCATAAAAAGGGCCTCTTAAAAACTTCCAGGAGGTTGTCAAAATCTTCAAACATATTATCCCCAAAGAAAATCAGTTACACAGTCTCTTCTTGCATAATTGTATGTCTGATTCAGTTTCTCACTGATTTCTCATTGGGATGCAGTTCTCCAGCATCTGGTTCAACAGAGATAAGCTCCTGGTCTGGCTCTGGAATGTTCCACTGGAATCTATCATGAAAGGACAATCACAGAGAGCCAGCTGTAGAAAAGATTAATGATGCCCCAGACTACAATTAGACTCTGAAAAATTACAAAAATGTCACAGGAAAAACAACCGTTATGTCCACAAACCGTAGAGGTAGGCTGCTGAGATTTCGTATGTCAACGGTGCGCTGTATTCGAGAGCCCACCGCTGTAGGCTGGAAATATAAACTGTTGCCTTCTTTCAGAGACACACTCACCTTATCCACCCACAGGACAACGTTCAGGTCCTAAAGGGACACAGAGACAGATGCACAGATTAAATCACCTGTGTAACATGTTTCCTGTGTTGTACCTGTGTGACTTAAGTACAGGTGAAAAAAATAGTTTTGCCGGGAAAATCGAGGTGTTTCATCTCATCAACAGATGGGAACATTTTGTTGTTGTTGCTAGGATCATTTTAATTTTTATATTAAAAGCGTGTTTTTTAAATTATGTTTTGATACATTTTAACCTGGATCTGTGTGTCTTTGATTCCCTTTAAAAGCACTCTTTAAATAAAATATATTATTATTATTATGTTGCCGATACAAAAACGTTTCTAGCCAAAAGACAGTATTGTTATACAACTGTCTTCAACATCCAAGTGAATATTGTATATGTGAGCATACCCCAATAAGCCAACACTCGCTTCTGCTGGCTAGCACTCCGACACATTGTACAGGATAGGCTAAGGGGGTAGGACACCTTTTAAGAGGTTGACCAATCACAACAGAGACGGCCAGCTAACCAATCAGAGCAGACTGGGCTCTGGTTTCAGACAGAGGGTGAAAAGAGGTTCTGCAGCACAGGCAGTATGAGCAAAATAGAGCACTTTTTGAACATTAAAGCATGGAAACATGTCGGAGTGGAGGCACACAATACCAATATGAACTTGAAACTTAGCATAATAGGGCCCCTTTAGAACTAATCTTAGTGGTCCATTTTAGCCTTTCGTGGCCAATACAACAATAAAAAATGTGTTTCCCTTGTCCTCTTTCATCCTGTGCAGTGTAGAGTACCTCTGTGTGGTTGGCTGCATTAAGCTGAATGGGCCAACTGAGCCTCATTTTGGGACTTTCTTCTGTGGGAGTTGTTCTGAGGGTTAGGATTTGGTGGTTCCCAGGTGGGATGAAACCACAGGTCGGAACTACAGATACGTATTCTGACAAGGCGGGGTTTGAGCTGGGGTCCAGAGAGAAGGTGAGGGGCAGGTCTCCACAATTCTGGAGGAGCACCGTTCGGTAGGAAAGAACACTGAGTGTTGGAAAGGCCTTGAAGGAAAAAAAAATGACAGTTACCAAAGTATAGTATGTTAGTGTACTTCCATGGACAAATGTCATTTGCAAAGGTTTTAAAGAAAGTGTTATTATGACAGAACCTTTGTATTGAAACGATACATTGGATTAAACAAGATTAGATAGAATAGATTCAATGTTATTAGATTAGACTACATTAGATTTGCTTTATTAATCAAAAATTGGGAGATTGTTTTGTTACAGCAGCATGTTAACAAGGCATTGCACATGTGTTTAAAATAAGAAATAAACATGAACAGTACAAATATACATATCAACAGTAGACAGATATATATCTAAAAGAATACACAAAACATAAGTTTGGATATACACTACAATAGACCAATCTACTTCTAAAAAATATATACATAGGATGCTATATATACATTTTCTAAATATGAAAGGCAGTAACAGCTTTTGTAAAAAGTGAAATGCAATGAGGTATAATGTGAATATAATATTGATATACAAATTGGTCAAGGTAAGGTCAAATACAACCAAAAAAAAGAACTAAAGAAACTATAAAGCAGAAATATCATCTTGATTTGTTTTCTGTTTATTGAGCGATACACAATAAAATGAGACACAATAAAATGAGACACTATAAAATGAGACACTATAAAATGAGACACTATTAAATGAGACACTATTAAATGAGTGAGAGATTCCCGAAAAAGAGAATGACATGTCGTTTCTCGTGCTTACCACTTGACAAGGCGTCAGAGAGCAGTTGGGGATGAAATGCTCTTTGCCCGGCTGAAAGGAGTGGCCTATGACTCTGACAGTCACACACCAGGGTGGGCACAGCAGTCGCTCCTCTAGGGGAGGATTGTCCTGCAGGACCAGATAAGAAGACAATAGATGTGCAACAACATGTGCATTCAACCATGAAGATACAAACTCAAGAAAAGCAAAGGTACAATTTATGTGATTTATGTTTAAGGTGATATTCTACATGATATTCTTTTATAGCGTTACGTTCAACAGACAAGTACCGAAGAGAGGAGAGAAAAATTGGAGATCGGACCAAAAGTGATTTTTTATTTTAGATCTGGGATTAAAGTCAACATTCTGATATCAAAGTCAGGATATGGAGAATACAATTCTGAAGAAAAACAAAAGTGAATTTTAAACTTTAAACTGATAAAAAATGAATGTTTTAGTCGTACATGTGGAAGAAAATGTGAGTAATTTTTATTTTTTAGTGCCGAGATTTAACTGAGAATTCTGAGAGAACATTCCGAATTTTGGGAAAAAATAACGTATTTTCTCAGTTTAAAGTACAATATTCACTTTTGGTCAAATGTCAAAAATGTTTTCACATGTGGCCCTTATCCTTTTCCGTAGACAGGATGACACATTTTGAGTGGACAAACATGTGAGCTGTTTTTTCAAAGAAGAAAGACATCCCTTGATTATCAAACAACCTTACCTTATAGTATGCAAAGCATTCAAGTTGAGCTCCGTGCAGAGTGCTCAGCTGCTTGGGGTCGTAGGTGACCCTGAATGAGGTGGACTTCAGAGGAGGAAGGTCACATGATGAGGGAGAGACAGAGAACGGAGAGTCGTCTCCAGCAGTCCACACCAGGCTAGAGCGGAATAGTGTGAAACAAATATCAGATTTAACAAGAAAACAGATATTGTCGTCGAGTTTTCTTCCATGACAAAAAAACACAGATACCTGAGTTTCCCCCTGGTGTGGTTTGTGATGGAGACAAACTGAGAGGATTTGGATGAAGAAGACACAGAGGAGGAGGTTTTGTGGGTAAACAGTAGCTCTCTGGGCATCACAGATACATGTGGGGGCGATGCAGTAGAGCTGGAAGGGAGGGGGTCCATGCAGCCCAAGCAGGATTGGTAATATTCCTGCATGGGATCTCTGGACACAACACCAGCACTGTCTGGCGTCTGGAGAGACTGATACAAAATGACACAGAAAAATATTCAAATACACAATTGAAAACCTATGGCTGCATATTTTTGTAAACGACATACTTTTACGTATTGTCGTCATATAGTGTACATATGTAGTTTAACTTCTTATGTTTATCAAAATCATTTCTAATCTGATTTACATTACATTTTAATGCACATTTTTGAAATCATTTTTTGGGTGTATATTCGTGTTATTTTAATGTATTTTGATCTTTTCATTGCACATTTTTACTTATTTATTATTTTATAGTCTTGTGTTAATATCATTGTTGTTTTTTGTCTTTTTAAATAAAAAATGTTATGCTAATAATGTCATTTAAATGTTCTTTTCCCGTTTTTATATTGCATATTTTATTTTAACTTCTTATGTGCATATAAATAGTTTGATTGAGTTTTATTTTATTCTACCATTTAAAAGCACATTTTTACTTAACTTCTTGGGTTTATATAATAATATGTTATTATATTCTTAAGAGAGAAACTGTCATGAAACCCAATTTTGCCAATTCTTTGGTGAAATTGATTATGTACTTATTTTAATCTAGAACAATCAGCAGGTTGCTTCTCTTTGAGACGCCTCACCTCCACTGCAGGGCAGAGAAGTTCCTGGTGGTCCATGCTTGCATCCTGATTCTGCAGCATGGCACTGGGAGTGTCTGCCGGGTCGTGTCTGCGGTACCAGTGCAGCTTGTAGAGAACCAGGTGCTCAGGCTTCAGTACGGCTGGCTGATGCAGCTCTGAGTGACAGGTACCAATCAGGTCCAGGAACAAGGGCTCCTTCAGCAAGAAGAGAATCAGAACACTTATTTATCCTTGGGGATATCTTGTTTCGAGACAGTTGCTCCATTTTGGAATAAAATCAAATGAAAGATAAAAAAAAAAAAAAGATTAATAAAAAATGATATGTATTTATATGTGAAATAAAGAGATACAATAAAATAGAATAAACATATAAATATATTCAAAAACAAAATGTTAAAGTATCATGACCCATAAAGGAAGAACAAAAATAAAGATTACAAATATTCATATAGACATTAGAAGTGCAAAAATGTACCACCTTATGCAACATGTGTATTACATAAATACAGTGGTGTATTATTATTAATAGGATAATAATGCTGAGTTGCATAGCTTAAAAACATTTGCTGCTGAAAGGGAAGTAAGAGTTATGAGGAAGAAATCATGAATTGGCTCCTACCCTGTGCAGTATGAGACATGCCACTCTCCTGTGGTGAGCAATGGTCTGCCTGGGCCTATAGACCGCCCTCAGGGTGGTGCGGCTATGGGGGCGAACAGCGCCACTCGCTGGCTGGAAGCTGAACACACTGTTCCCACTGCAGTCCAAGTCCCATTGGAAGAGAGCTTCAACGTGTGAGGAATTAAGCAGCTCCAATGTCTGTACAACTGCTCCTCCTTCCTCAACACAGCCAAAGTCCACCACAGAGGAGGACAGGGACACATTGGGACCTAGTTACAAAGAGAAATACTTCTTATACACAATAACTGTAGTTGTACCCAATAGGCTATAAGAGTGTGTTTCTGTGTGTCCCCTACCTAAACAGCTTCCCGTCATTTTGAGTTGCGTCACATTCTCCAACACTCTATATTTTAGAGATAAGTAATCCACAGAGACTCTATCCACCACAGCAGGAGTATAGGTGACTGTAGCCCGTAGCGATCCACCGGGCGCCACCTCGCCCTGGGTCACATCACAGCTGAACTCTGACCTCTGCAGGGGCAACCCATTGGACAGACATAAAAGAGAGAATCGTGCAGTCACCTGTAGGAGAAGGGGCAAAAAGAGTGATTAGAGGGAGTGTCACTGATTTGCTTTGGTGAATCTTTGCGTACTACTCACAGGGGAGGGGTTGAAGATGTCGACGTGTTTCTGTAAACTTTTGCCGACAGCAACAGAGCCAAAGTGCAGCTCTGGATGATACTGTTCTTTTTCACCCTTGGTTCCTGGACTTTTCAGTTGAAGAAATGGGAATTTAGCTGAAAGAAAAGACAAGAACAAGTGAGAGAGTATTGGTAACAAAGTTTATCTGACATTAATATATAGCCTGTCGCCATATGGTTCAATCCACATAATGTCAGTATATGAAGACAAATCAAGGACTGACATCTCTTCTAAGGTTTGCATTGTACAGACAAGAGAAAAGCTGGGTAAAAAGTAGCTAAAGTGCTTTGTTTGAATTCCTATCAGTCATTTTTAGACCATTGGATATATGTTTTTCTAACTTTACTAATATAACTAATGTTACAAACCAGCAATCAAGTTTAGAGCATGTTTAATCGTTTCATATGGTTAACTTCTTGAGCTAGGATCATATCATTCATTTTTAGATGATATAGATTTAAAGGGTCTTATTATTTTCATTTTCAGGTTCATATTTGTTCTACTGTGAAATGTTCACATATGTTCAAAAAGCTCTTTATTTGTTCATACTGCCTGTGCTGCAGCACCTCTTTTCACCCTCTGTCTGAAACCAGAGCCCAGTGTGTTCTGATTGGTTAGCTGGCCGGCTCTGTTGTGATCGGTCAACCGCTTCGAGATGTCCCGCCCCCTATCATGTACAATGTGTTGGACTGCTAGCCAATAGAAGTGTGGGTGTTACGTACTGTAGTGATGTCACTATGTCGCAGGATACAAATGGGATTTCAGCGCTTGCAGACCATATACATGCACAACAACCTATACAATTGTTTAGATATCATATTGTCTGTGGTACTCGTATACGTGATCGCCTATGTTTATAAAGCCTGATCATTTCATTGGTAATCTTTCTCTGGGTCGTTCATCTGTCTCAGTTCATACAGTACCTAGTCCCTGCAGCAGAACATTGCAGCAGCTCTCTGCCTTGTCCCCTTCGTCCCCTTCTTCTCCAAACCTGCAGTCGACCTGTTGCTGGTACACCAGGGCCTCTTGTGGTTGGAACTCCACCATGATGTTACACTCCTGACCGGGCTTCAACACCCCCTGCTCGGGGCTTAGCTGGAACGGTTCTGTGTAATCCAACTCGAACCATGTTTGGAGTTTACTGTGGGAAGAAGAAAAGCACACACAACAGAAGATAAACACACAAATATTAGATTCAAATACATTTATTTAAAACTTGTATTCATTCTTTTTTCTTCTTCGCATTGGTTTCATACCTGACATTTTTGAGAAGGAAAGCGGTATACGTCGTGTTTCGGACAGCACAGAGTGGCAGCAGCACAGAGTCAGGCACCTCCAGGGCACAGCAGGGAATGGTGGCACGGAGGCATACTTGGAAGCTGCTGCCATCTTTACTTTCAAAATCAATGCTGTCCTCATACTCACACTGTGCAGGGCAGTAGGAAAGAAACACAAACACAACACATGAAACGAGAGAGGTAGATTGTGTCATATCAATATTATATGGATACAATTCATCATCTATTTCCAAATGTGCTTCTTGTGGTGTCATCATGTATACAAAACGTCATCATTAAAAAAGATGGTCTAGATCTAGAATGTACTCAGGTCATTCTTTTGAAATGGTCCTATGATCTCCCTTACCCAATTATTTGAGTTATATCTGACCATTTCTAATAGTAAGATAGCCCAAGATTGTGGGCCCTGGGGTAAATGACTCGACAATTATTCCTAACAATTATGTATAAGATGGTGATGGGTTACCCTCTTGAGTGGTCTAAAGCTGATTGGCACAGAGAAAGAAGTCCCTGGGCTAATAACGATGGTATGCGGAACCAAGGTGGAGAAAAACTTGGACACTGGAGGTCTGTGAGGGGGGGGAGATAGGATATAAAAGCCAGTGGATAATCATCAAATGTGCATAGCATTGCTTGAAATAAACAAGAAGATCCCAAGGCTTTATTGTCATTATGCACAATATCTACAGCGTCAATCCCAAGCTCAGTGCAACATACAAAAGACATACAAATGGTGCAAGACAATGGCGCAATTAACACAATGGTGCAAGTAAATGCATAGGAAATAACCCAGATCGTGTGAGGGTGTATACGAGAATACCGATATGAGTGTATGCATACTGGTGTGTGTTTTTTAATACCTGACGTGTAGCTTCTGAAGCCTGATATGAACATTCTTTAACACTAATGTCTTGGTGAACTCTCTTCCCAGGTCCCAGTCCTCCCAGACCAGCTCTGGCTTCATTTCCAGCCCCAAGGCGGAGCTGCTTTGGCTGGACTCTTGTCGCTGGTACCTTCCAACCCGCTGCATTTCGTGACTCCCTGGATCCTGTTGGGTGAGGTGTTGCAGAAGACGTGTTTTGAGAGCAGACACAGATCAATATTTTTCAAAGAAATTGCAGGCGACAACCTACTGTACATAACAAATTATTCAAACTATTTTTTATTTAATTTGTTTGCAGGGTTTGAATGGATATTTTCAAATCTGATATCTACTATACATCTTAAAAAACCCACACTTTTTCCAAGCATGTGTAATTCAGCCTCAATTTTGTTTTGCTAACATTAAAGTATGGGATTGACCAGTTCTAAATCAAAATGCTTACTGAACATCATTGTGTGTCATTATGTCAGAGCAACTGATAAAGCATACAAAGATTAGGTCAAATGTATTTCAGTTCTGTGCCCACCAGTGCAACTGTTTCAGGATGTAGGCCTATGTTAATTGTATTATATATGATAAAGAGCTTGTATGGGGCATTCTCTCTGCCATTGCCTCTTGAATAGCAGGTTGTTTATCCTCATAGGTACATGTTTAAATAAATAGGCAGAGAACCAGGCTTTAAAATACACAACAGATTTAGGTATAGGCTGTTGTTGATCATGGACCATTTTGCTTATTTAAGGAGGGATTCAAAACAAAGCTTAACATATTGGAACACAGGAAAAGCAGACCACATGTTATTCATTGATGATAAGCTGTTTCTATTCAAACTGTTTTTTTATTTATCATTTCTGTACAGACCTGAGAACAGCTGGGTAAAGTGCTTTGTATGATTGTCCTATTGTTATTCTTAGACCATTGGATATACATTTTCTGTATTTTACTGGTACACAGGAAAAACGGACTAGTTATTATTTATGATAAGTTCTTTCTTTTTTTAAATGTTTTTACTTTGATATCCTTCCCAGCGGTGGGGGGCTTCCACGGGTTTCCTGGAGTGAAGGGGTCAGGAACCCGAGCCTCAGCTAACATGGCTGAGGAAGACAGAGAGCATTCAGCTAGCTTGACATTTACAAAATAGAAAATACACATGTGAGTTTCTGGTGGATGCCTGGTGGTTATAAGGGTTTCTGTTTTCTTACAGTCGAGTTAATAATTACATTATCACCTTAAAAGTTTCACTAAAGTTAAAACATTGCTAACGTTACACCTTAAACCAGGTTGCTAGTGTTTTGAAATGAACGTTAATATAGCTATTAAGATAGCTAACACAGAGAAAGCTAAAACAGTTGCTTCACAGACCAAACAGCATGCTAAACATAACACAGTTGGTTTAAGGGACTTAAGTGTCCTTACCTTATTTCAAACTACCAACAGTAAAGATAGAATAAGATTGCTTTCACTCCATGTTAGTTAGGAACATTTGGTAGAAGTTTGTGTCGTGACCGCGTTACCAAGGCAACAAGCAACTGTTTGTATTCCGGTAGTAATTACGGCAGCCGAGGGGGGGGCATGTCAATTCGCGAACTGGTAGTATTTATATATCACATAAGCCTGCGAGTTTATGACCAATATACCAATACAGCCGGGTCGGCTAAAATGATTGGTCGTGCTTTTTACAGCGCTACGCCTTCCACAGATGACATTTTTGTATGTATTTATTGTCAAAGCATTTAATATATTAATTGCTATCGGGATTTGAGCATTCCATGGAATATATCAAAAAGTGTTTCTGAAATAAATTGCATACCCCACCTTTAAGTACAGTGTTTGAGTAAATCTACTTAGTTACTTTAAACCACTGTTGACAGTAATAAAGAAGTGACACCATTAAAAACCGCTTAATCAAAAAAATTCTGTCTTAGATTGCATTTAGTCTCAGTCTGAAATTGAATGCACTCATCACACATGAATTCAATTTTATTGAACTATTTATCTCCACAAAAACCACTAGTATTGCTTTAAAAGTGAAATATATTAAAGTCTATAATGTTAAATTATATTGACATCATAACATGCTTAATATGAGAAGATTTTACAAAATACAGGGTAGATGCCTTAACATAAAATGTAAAATACAATACAGTACGTGCAGCGTCTTTCTTTGTGTAAATAACTAAATATAACATGCTGTTATAAGAAGATAATTGTATATTATACAGTCACATAACAAAAACATATTGGTATTTTCTTTCCACACCCTATGCCCTTAACTTTACCAGGGTGAATAAGAATCTATTATTTCTTATTTCTTGTTTAAAATATGAAAAACAAAATTGATGGGAACATGTATCCAACATGTGTAACAGACCAGCATGTCCTGATAACAATGTAACACTGACACTCTTTACAACATGATTTCCAAGTCAATTTTTCTGTCTCTTCATCCACTACCTTCCATAAAAGTGCTATTACCCCCCCCCCCCCCCCATTCATACAGTTTAAGTACATGTTCATATACAGATAAATTAATTCATTTCAGATGATAGGACAGGAAAAGAGGCTACGTTCATCATGCGCAAATTATAAATCAGAATTATTTGTTAATGGATTACTGACCATAGCCTATATAAACCAATACATGTCGAGGAACACAAATGTGGCATTATTCTTGTATAATGAGATGCGTTATGTGCCTGATGTGCCTGATGTGCAGATGAAGGTATCCTTTTTTATGTATAGTACTATGGGCAGGGCTTTGAGAAATGAATGATCCTCTTCATGCCACCATGTTTGTGCACCTGATTGCATTGTGTATCGCCCCTAAGAGTAATAAACATAAAAAGACGTACAATAAAAGCATGCTGCCATTTACAACTATGGGAAAATCCCACTTCTTGTTCTTGGGCATTCTTCCTCCGGCTCCTCCTCTGAGTAATAGTTCCCTGTTTCTCCTCCAGCGTGCCTCGAGAAGCCTACGGAGCCTAAAGAAGCCGCCCTCAGCACCTCTATCTCCTCTTTCTCGTCCTCATCATCCCCTTCTATCTCCTCTTCATCCTCCAGGCTGGAGCTGTGTGAATCACTCTGAGGCTTGACACTGTGTATATCCATGGCAGCTTTTTCTGTGTCAGTCAGAGGTGACTTTTGTTCCTTGGCTTTGCGGCTTCTCTTCCACTTCATACGCCTGTTCTGGAACCAGATCTTAACCTGGCGAAGGACGAGAAGAATCATGACAGTTAAACTGTGTACAAATAGTACGTTTAGTAGTGGGGGTTCAGGCTGCAACAAAGGATGTTCCTTTTTCACAGATGTATATATTACGGAATGTATGGAGGTTAGGCCCACATCATGTGTTTGTTTGTTTTTTGGAGGGCTGAGATTAAAGTCAGAGTTAAGACTTTAGACTCAGAATTATGAGTTAAATCATATAGAATTCTCATGTGGCCATAATCCTCTTCCATATAAATGTTATAAAACAGGACGTCATGATTAAAGAGAGACAGGGAAGAAGCAAAATAGTTAAGTATAGTTATACAGCACATTTCAGACACAAAGGCAAATCAAAGTACTTAGCAAAAGCATTATAACACAAGAAACAATTAAACTAATTAAATATACTAAACAGATAGAAGATAGTTAAAATTCAGCATTATAAACACAGTTAATGCTGCATAAGGTGCAATACTAAAATGTTGTTACACAAACTCTGGAAAAGCATCTTTATTATCTTGAAGTTATTCCATCTTTGGCGACTTATGGAATATACTCACACATTGAAATTATGTATAGCAGGGGATAAAACAGTTCAATACAAAACCTGCTACAGGCTCTCTTACCTGAGTCTCAGTCAGCATGAGAGAAGTGGACACCTCGAAGCGCTTAGGCCTGGACAGATACTTGTTGAGCTTGAACTGGTTTTCTAATTCTAGCAGCTGCTGGCTGGTGAAAGCCGTCCTGGGCCTCCGACACTTCCCCAACAAACCAGCATGGGCTGCTGCTATGAGGGAAAGAGAAAAATACAGGTTATTCTTTGTGCATGTCCTTGTTTACATTTCAACATTTGTAATCGATTTCTGTAAGAGCACTATACCTCTCTTACAATATTATGGATAGTGGGCCAATAAAAAAGGATAGATGCATATGGGCCCAAGTGAAACAAATACACCCAAAGAAAACTATTGTTTTAAAGATATTTTTTCAAAAGCATTTTTAAATCTTCCAGTTTGGTTTCCACTTCCCTGCTTGCCTTTTTAAGGCCTCCCTACCTGTCTGTCTTCCTATCTGTATATCATGTTTTCTCTATCCGTTAACATTTATTGCCTTGATGTGAGGTCGTGGTGAGAGGATATTGCTTTGGAGGGGTAATAAACCATAACATAGGCCATTACCTTAATGAAAACACCATAAATGTTATCAATTGAATAAGTAGTAGGTCTATTTCAGGTGCTACCTTTACGGTAAATGTTACATGCTATTTTGATGAGATATTGTCCCTAAAAGACAACAACTCAATGTCACGGCCCTTTTAAAGCCAGAACCAACACACAGGTGTGAGGAGGAGGCTCGAAACATATAAATATATTAGCTGACTAGTTGAAAATACCCATTACAAAAAAATGAACCAAACAAATACATCCTTGTAATATGTTTAATAACATAATTCAAAAGGAAACATTTGATTTTAAGGTCTAAGCTGGAAATGCTGCTATTTCCTGGATTGAAAATTATCCTGTTTCTATAAATTAGGTAAAATAACAATAAGGAATATGTAATCAACAAAAATCCAAATAAAATAAGATGTTTTAAAGAGTCTACTACTTAATATTTACAGTTATATAAATATAGTACTCTGTTGTAAAACATATGAAATGACATCATAATTCATTTTATGTGTTCAATTGTTATTCTTTGTATTATTATTCTTTTTGTCTAATCTATGACTTTTGGATATCCAATGCATTTTAATGGGATTGTTAAAAGTCTTATCCACAAATTCTGAAATGGTTAAATATGCATTATAGTTTTTCGACCGTCTTAAATTACAGGAAGTAAAATAGATACAGTTTAAAACTACACGAGATGCACTCACCTCCATAATCTCCGAGTCTGGGTATCATCATCCCGGCCCTGATCCAGGGCTCAAGCGGGTGCGTCGCGGCCATGTGTGCCCCCTTTAGCTGCTCATGGTACGGTTGGACCAGCTGCGTGAAGCCGGGGTACATAAAGGCGGGGTGCTGGCCTCCTAGGGCCGCCAGAGGATACATGGAAGCGGGGTGCATACCGAGGAAACCCCCATGGTGTAGAGCAGTGTATCCTGACTGGGACAGGCTGAAGAGCTGGGACTTTGATAGTACTCCTGGCTGGGCTGGAGAGTAGTTCGTTGGGTTTGGACGTGGGGAGGGCGTCTCCGAACCACGGGTTGACACAGGACTGCCACCGGGGCTTCTGCTGTAGTACAACCCCGGGGACGCACCATCACTGTCCGTCCTCTGCTCCACGTCGTGTGCCAGCAACGCGTCAATGCGAAAGTTTTTAGATTTCTCCATGGTGGTAGTCATTCTGTCCCACGATGAACTTTGAAGCACTTCTTTCTGAGAACACTATGTATTTTCTTAAAGTTTACAAACACTGCTATATTGTCACTCCTCGTCCCCTGAAGAAATATCTCTGACCTACTCCACTTATGGCTTGTGCGTAAAAACCACTTCACTCACTCCAGCAGTGAGCTGGGAAATTACTTGCACCCACGAGCGTTATAAAGTCTGCTGCGTTGTGATTGGCCAGAGCCATGCAGCACAGGACAGGGGAAGGGTATATATATTTTTTTTTTAAGGGTTAATTATAGGCATTGGTGCATACTTGTATCATATGAGTTGATTCCAAGATAAATGCTTTTCAATACAGCAAAGTTGTAAGTCTTTGTTTCCTTCCTTCTCAAGCATTCACAATTCTAATTATTTGCCTGTGAAATAATCCATGTCTAATTATATTATACTTTCTTTCGTTCTTTATGTTATCTTTCTGGCAGTTTGACCTCCAATTATATCCCTGTCTCATGTGTGCTTGAGGTTCAATTTCCGCAACCAATATCTTGCATACACATGTGTTATATGTATTACATTCACAAACATGGAGACACACACATAAAACACTTACAGTCATGCTCCGTTAATTCATTTCATCTCACTTTAGAGATCTGACGAAAACATAATTTTACAACTTAGTCTTCATTATAGTTTATTGCTTGCTAAGATTGACAGAAACCCAACCGTTCTTATCAGTGGTTGCTGCGATGATTATCGGTCATCACCACACCATGAAGCAGAAAGAGGGGCAGTAAACTGACAGAGAGCAAACTCATTTTCTGGACAGGTGACACAAAATCCTGTAACAGTTGTTTGGTGTTTACTCCATCAATATACACATTTTAATATGAAACAAAATGATGTAATATATGTGCAAATAGTAGCTAGAAACTTGATCAAACTGTTTATTGTAAACTGTTGTGAACTGCACATTGCAAA